CTTATTTATGGCCATGAGAAAATGCTGTCGATATAAGGACTGAATATATGGAAGAAAAAACATTTCAACATATGGTTGCCACCGCTTATAAAGGCAACTACCCAGCCGGGGCTGAAAATGATCACAGACCGGGAGTGCGCTTTTGAAAGGCGAGCGCCAAAAAAGCGCCTTTTTTCTGGTTACTAGGGAGAAAGTCACAGCACACAGTGAAACTAATTTTCATTATCACACACATATGGCTGGCCCAAATCGGATGGAAGAATGATGTTCCGGGAGTTGATCGATCTGTTCGGGATTAGCCACGCATGCAATTTTCATTCATTCAGTAATCTTCTCCGAGACTTGTAAATATGTCTTTCCAGCCTTCCTGACAAAATTTGCGATAGCCTAATAAATGACCCGTGTTGTGAACTGAGATATAGGGTCAACATTCCGTTGTTCCAAGAAGAAAAATTTGACAACCCTGATCTCTTTTATGAGGGCTTCGATCGACCCCTCACCACCACCATCAGAACAGTCCTCGAGCGGGTGAAGGTGGGGAGGGGGAGGAAGGGTTAACATGTCTAATAGAGTCGCAAGTTCTCTAAATCCCTCTATTTTCCGCTTCTTCCGTGCCGTGAAGTTTTCGCCGAAATCACCAGAAAACAGCTAAAACAACCCGACGACTCCCCTCTCCCGCCAGTACAATCCACCAACGTGAAAGAATACGACCCCCTCTCACCAACCTTTCAAGCCAGCCCCAAAAACGACGCTCTCGCCTCCCCCAAAAAAACTTGAAAAACTTCCCCGCCCCGCTGAAAACTGCGGAACGCATGATTAATCCTGCTGAGACATCCACCCACAGGGCGCATTGATAGAGGGTGGCAGAAGGGTTCAAGTCTTTTTTCACTAACCAAAAGAGAGCGTTGTCCGTGCCAACGCGAAAACTCCCACGATCTAGTAAGCCATGGCACCCGAGGTTTTCTCCAGGCATATCTGATACCGGTCAAGCAGTATCTGTAGGGCTTGAAGAGTTGGTGGGCCTGAGCGTGATTTGATCCACGAGTCCTGCAAATCATGGAAGCATTCTTCTTACCACTGCGCCATCTCTGCCACTTAAGTGACCCTCAATGTGACCACTTAGGGAACTTATTGAAACACAAGGGACAGTATAGAAAGGAAAATAATTACTAGCCAGTTTGGTCCATAAGCGCCAGTACACGATTTTCATATTTGGAATAATTTTCGGCACGTCTAGTGGAAAATTTGTTTAGAAAAGTTAATAGGGTAGAAATGGCAATGGAAATTCTTGCGTACCTCACAATCGCCGCTGTCATCATCTATTCCATCTGATTCATCACACTCTTCTAGTGAATCGTTGCCATCATCTTCACTGCTGTCGTACTCTTTGAGATCCTTCAAAGAATATTTAGCTGTGATGGGGAAAGTAAGTAAGTATAGCAAAAAGTAAGTAAGTATAGCAAAAAGTATAAGTAAGAAGTACAAAGAGGACGAGTTAGATGTGGTTCTTGGAATAACCAGGCATACAAGGGTGGACACCTCATTGCGAGAGCGGATAGAGGCGAGGCAACGACAGCGTTGACGCTCCGACGCTCTCATCAAAATGCTCCAAGTCCAAGACGGAGCGGTGTAAAAATCCTCGGCCGTGACCTTAGATCGCAAATATAGCTGCCAAACTGGGAAGAAAGCAAAGAGTCACCACCCCCCCCACCAGGACACTTCCTCTACTCTGGGACCCTAACAGAATGCCAACAGCGACGTATAAATAAGGGCTAGATACCCAAGCCCCGACCAAAACTCAGGATAGAAGGGTCAGGCTTGGGTGAGCACAACGAACCTGAAAGGTGCTAAAAGAAATGCAGGTATAGAAAGATTACTATGCATAGGAAAAATGCTCCATTTATGGCCGCTCGGTTTCCACAAAGGTTGGTTTCAACCTAACTTTGCGCTCGTTTTGGCTATTATGAGTACTTCTCCAGAATGCAGACAAGTCCTCGATTAAGATCCGAAGTGTTCCGAGGTTGAAGTGGAGCACTGCGCTCGCCAACTTTTGTTAATACCAAGGAACCGAAATCATCACTCAATTAAACACCTTTCAAAAGTTCCTCCGTTACCTTGAGGATAAAAGCCGCATAGGAGAAACGCCGGATCTCAATTTTAAGCAAGATCCCTATGGGCTAAGAGCTCACCTGAACGTTTTCGCTGTCGCTGTCCCAATGTTCTGAATCCGACGGCTCAAAATCAATTTCTGCACTTGAAATTTCTGGTGGAGTAACGTTTTTCTGAAATGAAACGATTGAAAATGAACTTCACAATTCACTACAGGATGCACACACACGCCAAATGTACCGCCCGGCGGCAAATGCCGTGTGACTCATTTTGGGCGCAAGTTCCTCTTATGCTTGCACACAGCAAGGAAGTACATACGCAGACGCGGAACGCATATTCTTGGAAGTTTGCCAACATATCTAGTGTGGACACGGAATTTATTAATAGCTTACATCTGTAGTCATCAACAGACTCCTGTACGGTTCAGAAGACCAGGATCTACGTAAGGTTCGATGCTAAGGACTGCGTGTAGACTGTTTTTTATGGTACATAGACGTTCTGAGCTGAGGTTATTCAATGGAACTTCCCAGAAATTCCTTCGAGATGGGTCAAAGTCAAAGGAAAAACATCAAATCTGTGACGAAAAAAATACGAGAATTTTGACATTCCGGTCCCTCTTCTCAAGAAAGAACAAAAAGTTTCATAGAAAGAAGAAAGTCAAGCTTTATTAGAAGCTTCCTCGGAAAACCGCGCAATCATCCGTCGTAACGAAAATGTTCAGGAATTGTAGGTTGGAAAATGTTGAGAAATACATTAGTAGGGTCTCAATCAGTAAGGGGGAGCATGTGGTGGCCACAGTCCATATTGCATGAAATAATCCATTTTTTTCTGAGGAGGGAGGCTCCGGGGTGGGCGTAAAAGTCCAAGCGAAATGATTTAGGGACCCCGGGAATTTCCTCCCCTTGCAAAAAATTGGAAGTTTTGTAGCCAGCACGAACTGCCACACACATCCCCCCCCTTACTGGTATGAGACCGCATTATAGATAAATTGTATAATTAAAGTTGATCTATAAACTATTCATTAATGACTTGATAAAAAAGCCCGAAAAAACAACGGGAAAACAAACAGACGACATCGTTCATGAATTTCCAAACTGTATTGCTGAATAAGGGTCCTTCAAGAAAAAAGTCAGCACGCAGTCGCTTGCCTTTGGAGGCTGCTCGTTCAATGAATAGAAAGCTTAAACTCCCGAACAATCAGTGCGAATAGGTGTGAAGCCTGAGACTTGCGAGTGATGGGCGGATGGACGGATGGGACGCAAGACGTCAAAACTCCAGGAGACATATCCCTACAGTAAGTTCACTCCCATAACCAAGGTCATGCGGCTCGTGTGGAATCAGACCACGAACGCTCGTAAAGGGATATGATGGCGTGTACTTACACGCGTACACGCGCGTAGAAAACTGAGGAGATCGAGACACACTGCACGTATCAGCAATTCCATGGAGGCATCAGGAGGGGGGGGGAAGTAAAAGAATTTTCAAGGAAGGGATTGGCAAAATCCGGGGGCAAGGTCTATGACATAGGCAAAACCGGCGAATATAAAACGGCCTGGGGAAAAGCTAATTTTTTCATAGAGGGCCGTTGCAGAGCAACAGAAAGGGCAAGCGGTTGCGTTGAAAGAAGGGCTTTTTAGGCCCAACAAGCTGTCTGACAGGCGGTGATTTCTCTACTGTCACTAAGAGCACTCTTAGAGATCTTGCCGTATTACCCCTGCTCACATTGCTGCAAATTTCAATCGACAGCAGAAAAAAATGCAGCAACGACGGTTAGTGCAACGCGATCACATGTGCCAGGGTGTGCTTGGTACCATAAAAACTCCACAGAGCCGGCAAAAAACTCCGCTCGCCTTTCTATGTGCGTGCGCAGCCGATCGTCGCGCCTAACAAACCATTTTTTCTATCATTTTCAATAGAGGTTTTGCCCTAACAGCAGTTTTTCATATATCGGAACTTCGAATGCATTTAGAAGATCTCGTTAAAGGTCATATCAAGGGGTCTAAATGGCTCCGATGATGGACGACGATAGATTTCCTGCAAGTTGCAGAAAATGTCTCAAAGAACGCTAATTGCTATAAAAAAAACCTGTACCTATTGAGACTTAACAGAATTACCTCGAAGTGGATATTCTCATAATAGTACAATAATTAAATATATCAAGGGTAAAGAAGAAAAAGTGAGACTGTAGCACCGCCACCGCCCTTAGCTCAGGGATTAAAGGCACAGTTTAGGCAGAACTTGGATGGACGATTCCCTTTAGCCTGTGGGATACACCCGATAATCACAGATCTCCTGTACATGAATGGCTCGACAAGGGTGTTAGAGCCATGCAGAGATAGCTTCAACAGCTTCAATTCTCCTCCTCCTCTCCGCAGCACGGTGCTGCCTGGCGCCCTCTCATTTGTTGCGCTCTCTCACCTAACACTCTCCTCTCTGTGCTCACTCTCTCATTGCCGCAGCACAGCCGCATTACGAAGTTGTTGGTGCCACTACTACCTCACACTAACCCAGCAATAATAATAATGACCCAGCGCTGCGGCCGAAAACAGCGTCAGAAATCAAAAGCATGTCAAAATTTCAGCCTCGCGGACCACTGCTGATGCCGGCCAACCGGCTCGATACGGGTGAGGGCTGATAGGGTATGAATAAAGTTTACTATGGAAAGCTGAGTTAGGGCAAAACAGTCATGGATTGGTCGCGTAGCTTGTAGCGCATATGCCCTGTGAACGACAGGTGCGGGTTTGGGACTGAAGTTTCATTCATAGCCTAGCATTATTGAGAAGCCTAGTTAAGCTCTGAGAAGCCCATTAAAGGAATCTTCCGCGGAAAAAGCTCCGCCTCCATTACCACAGAAAAACGATACCCCTTAGGCCCCTAGCCTCATGAGCATAGCAAAAAGAACGGAACATAAGCGTTAGTTTCGATAATACTAATCCTACACACAAGACAAAATGATCACTCTTTCCGTGGAAGATTCCTTTAAGGTATCGTTTTCTGTGGTAATGAGGGCGGAGCTTTTTCCGTGGAAGATTCCTTTAAGCGTATTCGACAATTTCATTTCATTTTTTCACCACCGCCGGTTCACTTCGTACCGATACTTCCATATTATTGACGGGAACCACACCAGTTTAGCCTTGGAGCATGCCGGTACGTCAGGGATGTAGCCTCGTCCGAGCCAGCCAAATCTGGCATCACACCAAGTATGGGGAGGGTTAGTAGGATCATTCGACCTGCAAAGGCCTTTCGACTTTTTGGAATTTTTGAGTTCTCAATCTCAGAATTCTACATGCGAAAATCCGAGGAGCGGATATTTAACATTTTTTCCAGTCACTTGCAGAAGGGGCTGGAGAAAAAGAAAAAGTATATTCAAGAGCAAATAGCGCAGTGGCTGTATTGCGGCACTGACACATATTTGCACGTTTTCAAGGGATTCATCCTCACTTCCGCCTTCCT